GGTTTGCCAGTACTTAATCCATTTTTAACACCTAGGTACTCTATTGACATTGGTTGTTTATTTCATGGATTTGGCACTTGAGGTAGCTGATAAGCCGTGTCGAAAACGTGCACAAAACGACCATTCTGTGCACGTTTTCGACACGGATTAAAAAGCAGTTGTAAGCACAAATTTTCATATGTAAAGCCTTTTTAATTGTGCATATTACTGTAGAATACTTTATTTTCGCTTGAAATTTATTTTCGCTGAAGGGATGATTTCGTGAAAATAAAATCCAGCGAATATACTTTTTTTCCTATATTCCACATTAATCTCATCAAAAATCAGTGAAAATAAATTCCAAGTAAAACGCCCAAAAAGCCTTTTCAGCGAAAATAAAGTATTCCACAGTACATTTTGTATTTGACATTTTTCAAAAAAAACACATGAAGTGTGAACAAAAAAATTCCACATTCTGCTGACTCGTAATTACAGATTTTGATGCAAATAATTATCACTTCTATATGCGCACATGTCAAAAATATAAGAGTGGCATTTACACCACCAGTAATGTTCCTAGGTATTTGATTATGCTACAATTCACTTCTTCTATGCATGTTGTACATGAAAAGGCGGTGTTAACTTACTAATGACAATTATAAACTGGGCATGCTAGAAATAAAAATATAAGGAAAAAAAATTAATTTTCATTCTAATTCCTAGTGATTAACCCCTTAAGGATGAATAGATGTTGCCCCCCCTGATATAATCAAAAACAAAATATTGATTTAAATCAAAGATACTAAAGAATACAGGGACTGGCAACCATTCTTTTTTTAGCTATTTTTTCTAGTAGGTTTTCAATGAATTTGACACATGTTTTCAAACTTGATGCAAGCAAAATCTGAGAAGTTTTTATGAATTTGCTTACACAGGCTGAAATGAGATAATAATGCAAACTAGCTATTTAATATGCATGGGCATGGCCCTAAAAGTAATCATGTCTGCACATTATCTCGAGGTACATGTACCTACCGGTATGTACCAAGCTTTTGAGATTTTGCTTACACACACAAGATACACTAAACAATTACCTCTCATGTGTGCGAAGGTAAAATTTTCATCTACTTTTATACAAATTCAAATATTCATTAGTGATTGGCTCAACATAATTGTCTATGCATATGATGCATGTGAAATAGCAACCATGACTGCCCACTATTCAAAATGAAGTGCTTGCTGATTACCGGTAAATGATATTGAATAAACAAATTAATATTATTTAGAGCATAAGATGATGTTAGAATACCATTTCTGCGTTGGTCAATTTGAGAACTAACAGCCATTTTGATTTATGGAAATTTTTTTTTATAAAATAGTTATAACATTCACTTGCATTCTCACTGTATTGGTCAGTAGGATAACATTGGAACATTTTCAGATCAGTTTGCACTGCACTTGTTAATTGGCTGGTTAGATTAAACAGCCATTGAAATTTAAAAATATTTATGAAATCGAAAGAAATGGGTTTGTGGTCTTGATAGTAAAGCTACACTACCTTACATTATTTATTTGAATTACATGTACAATGCATTCAACCATCATTATGTCATTTTGACATTGCAGAAGTGCATCATAGTTACAGGACTGCGACTTTTTTTTTAAATGTGTTTTGGCAAATTTATTTGATCTATTGACAGGTGAGGATGAATTGTCAAAACAGATGTGCGAGACTTGGGAAGATACCTCAGTTAGTACACTATGTCAACAAGAGAAGATGGTGACAATGCAACTACAAGCTAACAGGTAGGTCTACATGTATGTGTTTTAAATGTAATTTGAATTGCTTTAGATCAAGCTTGATTCACAATTATTTGTATTTTTTTAAACTTCATCTTTAATTTAGCAGATATTTTTTTTCCCAGAAATTTGTTTTTGGGGTACAGAATTCTGTCTCTCTATGTTAAGGCATCTACTAATATAAAATCCGTTATCATTGTAAAATTGTTGTTTAATCTTCCAGTAAGAACCGTTA